AAAAAAAAGGAAAATACTCTAGGGTCTATATGCTAGTTTCAGAGTTTTATATAAGACTCCATCTTGTCTCATCTTCTATTGCTCTTTTCATCTTACCACAAACTCTGAGACCTTGTAATAAGTATATAAGATATAACAAACTATCTTACATTCATCACTGCCAGTGTTACATAATTCCTACAGAATTTAAATCAAACATTTATTACCTAGTAGTACTAGAGGGCTCTGTAGGTGGAAATCCAAAAGCGTTCACATGAAACACATGATCTTCAAACCAACCTGAAAAAAGATAGGGAACAAATCACGCTCATTTGTCCAATTCCCCTCCTCCTTTAACAGGACAAACCTTTTAACACAAAGTAACAATTCCAGTTGGAGTCTCATGCCTTGCAAACCAATGAGAGAATTGCCAGTCCCACTGTGCTTTACGGTTTCAGAGCTATCGAATAGTCTAAATGTTATAAATAAAAGTATAAAAAGAGATGGGTACCAGTGGCTCATACCTATAATTTTAGCTACTCAGGAGGCTGAGATCTCAGGATTTCAGTTCAAAACCAGCCCAAGCAGGAAAGTCCCTGTGACTCTTATCTCCCAATTAACCATCAAAAAAGCTGGAAGAAGCCGGGCGCTGGTGGCTCATGCCTGTAATCCTAGCTACTCAGGAGGCTGAGATCTGAGGATCACGGTTCAAAGCCAGCCCAGTCAGGAAAGTCTATTAAATTCTTACTCAAATTAACCACCAAAAAGGTAGAAGTGGTAGAGCACTAGCCTTGAGCAAAAAAGCTGAGGGACAGCACCTAGGCTCTGAGTTCAGGACTTACACACACACACACACACACACACTTTAGTTCATAACCCTATATGAAATTTAAAAGTTGCTTCAACTTTTATGAAACAATGTATTTATAGCTCAGATATCATACAATTCAACATTTGTTTTTGTTTTGCTTATCATACAATTCAACATTTGTTTTTGTTTTGCTTTGTTTTCTTCAGTCCGGTTGTGGCCTGAACTCTGGGCCTGGGCACTGTCCCTCAGCTCTTCAGCTTGAGGCTAGCATTCTACCACTTGAGCCACAGCGCCACTTCCGGCTTTTTTTTTCTGCTTTTGTGGTGCTGAGGAATCGAACCCAGGGCCTCAGGCCTGAAAGGCAAGCGCTCTATCACTGAGCCACCTTCCCAGCCCCACAATTCAACGTTTATATGCAAAACTCAGTAGTTAGTATTCTCCTCTACCTTTGTTATGAACATTTTCATCATTCCTAAAAGGTTTCAGTCTCGGAGTTACCTAATGCTGTGGAGAATATACTCTTGTAATCAATGTTCTCCCAAATTATACTTTGTTTCTGTACTATGCCCAGTGTAGACAGGGTTTTACTGTGTAATAATGACGTTACAGTGTATGACGGGAAAAGTGTCCCCACCTACCTTCTGCTAAGACAAAGCACGCCTCTGTGTACAGACCACTATGGAACTGGTGCAGATCAGCTGAGGAAAACAACTCTGGAGGCAGTCAAACATTTTGAGCTCCAAAAAAATTTCTAAATAATTAACTCAAAAATATCTCATTTGAACTGGGTGCCAGTGGCTCACACATATAATCCTAGCTACTCATGAGGCTGGGTGCCAGTAGCTCGCACCTATAATCCTAGCTACACATGAGGCTGAGATCTGAGCATCACAGTTTGAAATGAGCTTGGAAAGTCTATGAGACTCCTACCTCCAGTAAACTACTAAGAATCCTGCCAGAAGTGAAAGTTGTGGCTCAAATGGTAGAGCTCTAACCTTAAGAGAAAAAAACAGGGGCTGGGAAGGCGGCTTAGTGGTAGAGCGCTTGCCTTGCAGGCCTGAGGCCCTGGATTCCATTCCTCAGCACCACATAAGCAAAAAAGAAAAAAGCCGAAGTAGCTCAGTGGCTCAAGTTGTAGAGTGCTTGCCTTGAGCTGAAGAGCTGAGGGACAGCGCCCAGGCCCAGAGTTCAGGACCCATGACCGGACCAAAAAAAAGAAAGAAAGAAAGAAAGGAGGGGCTGGGAAGGTGGCTCAATGGTAGAGCACTTGCCTTGCATGCATGAGGCCCTGGGTTCGATTCTTCAGCACCACATAGAAAAAGCAGGAAGTGGTGCTGTGGTTCTAGTAGTAAAGCACTAGCCTTGAGCTGAAGAGCTGAGGGACAGTGCCCAGGCCAAGTTCAAACCCATGACCAACAAAAAAAAAAAAGAAAAAAGAAAAAAAAAAAGAAAGAAAATTGGAAGTAAAGCTGTGGCTCAAAGTGGTTGAGCACTACACTTGAGCAAAAAAGCTCAGTGTCAATGTCCAGGCACAGGCCCTGAGAGTAAGCCCCAAGACAGACCAAAAAAAAAAAAAAGCAGCTCAAGTGAGGGAAGAGGTAACACTGTCCAAAAAGAAATGTACCCATAGAGCCGGGCACTGATAGCTCACACCTGTAATCCTAGCTACTCAGGAGGCTGAGATCTGAGGATCACTGTTCAAAGCGAGTCTAGGCAGGAAAGTCCATCAGACTCTTATCTCCAATAAACCACTAGAAAACTGGAAGTGGGGCTGTGGCTCAAGCAGTAGAGCTCTCATCTTGAGCTGAAGAACATAGGAACAGCCTCCAAGCCCAGAGTTCAAGCCCCATAACTGACAAGAAAAAAAGAAAGAAAAAATGAAATGTACTCATTACCAGACTTATATAACTGTAACCCCTCTGCATATTACCTTTACAATGACAATTTTTCAAAAAAGAAGCATCTCTGGGACAGAGTGTTCAGATCCTGAGTTCAAGCCCCAGGACCAACACACACATAGACAAAGACATAATTTTTTTTTCTGGTGCTGGTCCTGGGGCTTGAACTCAAGACCTGGGCACTGTCTCTGAGTTTTTGTGCTCAAGACCGGTACTCTACCACTTTGATCCACAGCACCATTTCTGGCTTTTTAGTAGTTAATTGGAGATGAGAGTTTCATGGATTTTCCTGCCCTGGCTGGCTTTGAACCATTATCCTCAGATCTCAGCCTCCTGAGCAGCTAGGATTATAGGCATGAGCCAATGCATGGCCATTAAAAAAAATTTTTTTTAAGTTTTAGAAGGATTTTTGTATGACTCAGTTAAAATTGAAAGAAACAGAAAAAAAGAGAGAAAAACATTTCCTGTTCCCCATGCTGAGACATTTTTAGGTTTAAATGGCTTCAGGTTAAATTTAAAGGCAGAGCCAGATAATGACAAGTGTATTCTCTTTTTTTTTTTTTTT